TGAAGAAGCACAGTAATTTTTCCCAGTTTTGTCCACACGTTAACTGCTGACCAGGGTGCGCAGTACATTAGGGATGTCCAGCGAGAAGGGGCGAATTTCGTATTTAGCCGCTGGAGGGGAGGGGGGGATCGTATTTGCCTCCGATAAAACGTATCGGCACTTGACTTTTCTGGGTTCCTCTTTCACGTGCGCTAAACACCGCTAGACGGCAGTCTCTGGGGAAAAGTGGAGGGCTTTTGGGGAAAAGAAATCCGGAAATGTCCGGAAAAGTGGTCGCAAGATGGAAAGATGGCAGGTAGGATGGGGAATGGAAATGTGCCCTTCCAAAAGTTGTATCAGAAGAGGAAACTTCAAGGGAGGTCGTATTTTGCAAAGATTTTCCTCAAAAAGGACGTGGCCTGCTGATCCAGCTATTTTTCGATGTGGAAAAGTTCACAAAAGTATAGGCGAAATGAAAAGCCTTTCGCAACTGAATGAACTGCGTATTAGCGGTAGGTGAATACGGTAAAACTCACTGATACTCCTTGTTTTCAATGTATTGATAGAGCTGATTCGAAAATGGTACTTCAAGAGCTTGCATGGCATAGATATGCAAGCAGTAGACCTTATTTCCAGAGAATCCAACGACAAAACCCTGAAATCGAGCTCTGTCAGTCTGGTGTCTGTAAAGGGTGCACCTTCCGCACTGGTCTTATGGGCGGAAACAGTAAGCCGCCGCATCAGCCTTATTCTGCTTGAGGCTTTAGACGTGCACACTGATGAGAAACTCACAGTGGTTGACTGTCTCCCCCCCCATAGGATAGCGTGGACTGTGACGACAATGCATGAAACTACTATACTTCTAGGCGAGGTACTCACAAACATTCGTTGTTGATGTCCGGGATATCCTCTAGCTCGAACAGTCAATTTCGAGCTACCCGAATAACAAATAATCTCCTCGTTATCGCTGTTGAATGCTACGCTGTTACAGTTAGGTTCCTAAATCACAGATTCTTCCAAATTAGGACCTGTTGACCTGTTAAAAAACTTTACAGTACTTCAAATAGAACTTCTTTGGTTTTGGCGTCGAAAACTACGCATAGACCACTGTCGTCTACAACTGCGATGTGTCGCCTGAAGATAAGATTTTCGATTGGTAAAAGCTCCTATTGAAGGGATTTTCTCATAGTTCCTCCTGTTTTCTTCTGAAAAATGAACTTTATAGTTGACAACATAAATAACCTTGTTGCACTTATGTCTATGCATTTGATTGGACCATTCAGTTTGAGCACTTGAACTGGGAATGGATTGTCGACGAACAGTTTACAAACCTGAAACACAGAAAACATTTGAAAAACCGAGGGAAGTGAGCACGTTATGATGGACCGCCTGCGGACTGGCAGAATGATGCATTCTGGAAGGCACCACAAAAACTACCAGATAAAAAAATGAAAATTGCAGCCATCTACAGGTCGGACTCCTATGGATTAGCAGTTGAAGGGGATTTAAGCGCTATGTCACTACTGCACATTCGACTGCCAACTTTTCTGTAGTATTTATCAGATATCATTTATATGGATTATATGTTTTGTCGGCGCTGTTTAGCGACGGGGGGCATTTTGTACTAACATTGCTTCCCTGGTTCCGTTTTACGAATCTCACCATGGTAGAAACTTGTGAACGCCTGTGCGAAGCGCGGAGTAAAATCCGTCCAGGCACCATCCTAAAGAACGTGTCATCTCAACGATAAGGCTAGTCTAGATGGGTCGGCACGATCTAGGAAAGCCGACATCCCCCCGCGTGACAAAACTGCGGCCAAACTTATCCATTTTATGGAATACCAGTTCGGCCTCGGCGGCTAACGCACGGCGCGCCTCCCGTGTCTGAAGTACTCTTGAGCCACTTTACAGATTTCTCGTCTGACTCCGCCCACCTCAGAGCAGACCACGTCCACCCACAATTTTTGTGCCCCACAATCTTCACCGACGACCCTCTGCTGACCTTAATCCACTTTTTTCCGGTGTCTGGAGTGTTCTGGAACCGTTCTACAGAATCTGGCCCACCCACCTCGAAAGGCATGCGCTCCGCCACTAATTTTGTAGGGCCCTACAATCCTCATGGTACCGCGACCTTAATTCTCACTTTTTTCCGGCTCGGAATTGCTCCGGAACGTGTTACAGACCTTTTTGTCTGGGTCTCGCCACCTCGAACAATGCCCGCGCTCCGCCCCACATTTTTTTGCCCCACATATGGCCTCAACGACAAACAGCTACAAATTTCAAAATGAATACCCTGCGATTTAGGGCAAGCTCCGCCCACTGTGGGCGGGTCTCAACACACTTCGAGCGTGCCCTATATTCGCCGGATATTTACATTCTACACTGAGTTTTTTGCGACTTCCAAACACTCGCGAACCGGGTTACTGAATTTTGCGAGAAGCACCGCCCACCTTGAGTACGCCCCGCCCATTTAGGGTGTACCTGCCACAGTTAGTCTGGCGACTCCTTACTAACCTTAGTCCCTTTTTCCCCATCTTTAAGCTGCTCCGGAAGCGAATTATGAACATTTTTGCTGTCGGAACCCCAAACTTCTCGGCCCCCCACTAGTGGGCGGGGCTTCCATAGGTCAAGGTGCGCGTTTTTGTTTCTTTGTCCCATGGCCACTACTATCCCACCTTTAGAACTGGACCTCCGACAAGTCGCTTCTCAGGTCGAATCGCATTTCCGGACAGACAAACTTAAAAACTTACAAGCTCAGCAAAGCCAAACAAACAAACACAAACAACAAACCAAACAGAACAAAAGCAATTATACACATGGGGTGATGTTTTGTCTGCTGTTTTCTGCTAGTACCTGTCCTTCACGTAATCCGATAAGAATAGTCTCTCGACCAGGAGGACCACCGATCACCTAAAATTTTACAAAGTCTCATCGTTGACGGAACTTTTTTCGCTACATTCCAAGTCTATTACACTATCACACAACTCACTTTTATGTATCGTATAGCAGATTCCAGCGACCATTCTCTTGCTTTAGACCCTTATGATCGTAGCACTGTAGACGACGTTCATCACACAGTATTAAATGATTCGAGCATACCACCTGCAAATAAGTAAGCGGAGATTATGTTCCTATTATTACAAATTCATCGTTTCCTTAATTTCTCCCTAGCGTTAGTCCCGCGCCGTCGCAGAGGTCCGCTTTCTTGTTAGACGTCGCCACTTGTTCCGATCCACTGCATCTTCTGCCGTGGCTTTCACTTCAGTGAGGTCCTCTTGATGACGTCCCTCCATCTTTTCTTTGAGGCTCCTCGTGCTCCTAAGCCTATCGCCGTCCTTATGGGGTGGTTCTCAGCCCTTCTACGTACCTTACTGTGTCGCCCACCCTCGGTCGCTGCCTTCAGCTGAATCGGAGCCATCCTTGCTGCAGGCCCATCTCAGCATCCTCATTTCAGCTGAGTGGAGCTGCTTTTCACGGTTCTTGCAGAGGGCCAGCACTCGCTGCCGAAGAGCATCGCTGTCCTTACCACCCTGGTACAATTTATCCTTGAGCGTTTCAGAGCACCGCCGGTTGCAGACGATGCCGGTGGATGAAATGTGTGTAAAATTTGCCTGATCACACAGTCTGGTACCCCCTCCTCCACCCACATTCTTTTATGCTCTCAAATACTAGCGGCCAGTAGCTCTGATACTATGTGAAGTGGGTGATTAGGCAATGCGTACACTCCTGTTCCCGCATACTCTCTCTCAATACCCAAGCGGCCAGCGCCGATCGATTCCCGTCTGCGGCTGCGTTCGAGTCTATAGGATTAAAGCGCTCTTGCAATTGTAGCGCTTCAACGCACGTCATCGCGAAGTGTGGACGCTGCCTAAGCGACGACTAGTGCCGCAATCTGTGAGCGCAGAATTAGAAGGTTCCTTCTGGTACTTACAAGTAATGAGCAGTCGAAAGCCTTGTTGATACGTTCGCTCAGCGTGTACTCGAGTTGCTCATTCTCACCATCCCCCTTGATTTGGCGATAAATATGAAGTCGGTCGGAGAGTTGTACCTGAAAATTCAGAGTGAACTTTTTTGTTTCCAATTGGGAGCTATACCCTCTGAGGCTAAAAAGTGCTCACCGCCAATTTATGACCATATATAGCCACTTTCTTAACAAGATCGTGGCAGCGAATTCGAGTCATCGTATGATGGATGAGGTGCTGCACAACGACATCGGTCATGTTGTCCCTGGAAAATATCCTATTTCGTCATCATTGATTTACTGGCTACCGTAATTCGAAAGTACTGAAGAAACCTGAATGCATATCGCTCCTTATGTAGACCGTGTATGGTGCTGAACATGAGATTGTAGCACGCGATAGTTCCATCAACACATCCAACCACTACCGTACTGGGATTCGAGACCGGTCTCACTCGTACACACCACACCCATGTATCCATTTGGGCTACCGTACCGATTTCCGTGCCTGAACTCGAAATAGCATAGCACTATTTTTGTTTATGATTCGCACCTTAAAAAAATCGATTTTCACTGACCGAGCCTTGTATGCAAGGTGACTTGTCGCCCAGAGCCGCCGATGAGAAGAAACTGCCCACTAGGGATGAATTCGACGCAGGTCGGATCGTAATTGAGCACCATGTCATCGCGTTTGATCGAATTGCCATCGAGGTCATAGAAACCCACACGACGGCCCCAGTCCGTCACCACAAGCACCTCACTGGTAGGCCTGTAATGCAGGACTTACGACTTCGGAGGCGTTTATATTACTGTAGCGCGAGGAGGCATTGCTCTGTCCCAGGCGCATATTCAACGTTAATAAAGTGGGGGGGGGGTACACCTGTAAGGCTTGGCGGCCTCTAGAATGCCATAAAATGCATGACTGTGAGTCACCACCTTGTAAACCTTGCCATCACCTTCTGAGCACCCCGAGCTCCTGCCAATTTTGTCAAAAATAATAAGATAAAATAAAATGAAAAATTAAGTCTTAAGAAATTTTTGCATTTGTTCCAAAGCTGAAAATTATTTCAAAGTCACTTTGAATGCTGATTTACTTTATCATTTTTGCTAAATTTATTAAGGGGGTCAATCAAAGAAGTAGCTCAGTTCCCGTTTCGCACGTGCCCTTAGACGTGTCAAAGTAGCTAGTTAAGTTTCGGAAAAAATAGAGAAATCGTTTTCTACTGACGCTAAAACCGTTTCGCCAAAAACTACAGGAGCGCACAAGGAGCGTACAAGGTACTTGGCAGAATTCGACAGGACTTAAAGGGCAAGACACGATTGCATAAAGGCAAGGGGAAACAACAAGCAAGAACAAAGACGCCGCACAAACGTACTGACAAGCGCTTACATATGTGTCCCCTCCTAACCTCCTACCGTACAAGGAGCGTACTCTCCTTGTTAGAGCTAATAACACAGGGACCTTCACACAGTATGTTTAACATATTTTCTGTTTTTCATAAGCACACCCACCCCTTCACGAAGGGAGGAGATGGGAGAAAAGGTAAAAACAGGTGGCCACAGAGAATGACACAAACCACGACTCTCTCCGCCCATAACCTCAGTGTGGACTACCCCCTAGAGCTTTCGTGATTACTCTCAGCAAGCCGACTAGAAGTAAAACATATAGTCACTCTTTTGATTGACGAAGTTTCAAAGTAGCTGCAAAGGTGAATGGCTACAGATTGCCTGGAGTTGGATAAAGCTCAAAATCGTACTCGTTGTCACCGAAGCGTCGTGCCAAGTCGTCTTGTGGTCGTGGGGCACAGAAACGAAGAGCCCAGACTGGCTCACCACCTGGACGTTCGATTTTCGCCACATATTCGTCACTTTGCTGAATCCATGGTATGTTATAGCAGACTAACACAGATCCAGCAAATTGTAGAAGGTACTTCCCAATTGAAAAGAGAAAACTTACAAAATTGTCGGTTTTCTTTATGTGCACGAATCCATCCTGTGTACCGATAGCGAACAGGCTACCATCGCGTGACCATGCACATGACGCACAACGACCGCTGATTCGCTGTTTTTGCACGTTTTTCTCGTCAGCTGACCACAGACCTATACAGTGATTTACAAGTTAAGTTCTAAGGTTTAATATTCAGTCGAAGACGAGGTGACGCACCCACCTACCTTCAGCTGCTGAGCCGACAGGCGGCACTAGACCCTTAAACAAGAACAGCCCGCCCAGGTCAACACAAACTTCCGTAAGGGCTCAGTCGGCACAGTACACCTATCTTTTCTTGCCCTTTATTATTAGTCACGAGTTGACTTTTGAATTCAGTACTCTGTCTAGGATGGAGTCTTGCTTCATGTAAGACAGCAAAAAGAGGAGCACGATCACGAGAAACGAGTAAGGGTGATTGCCTTAGACCATACGATCAGCGTAGATTCTGTCCTCAAAGATAGACCCCGCGCTCGACCATTTCCTAAGATTCCTTCATTGGCAAAGCACTCCGGTGCGTATTACGGTATACTCTATATAACTGTAATCTATGATGGACACAGCTCCCTCGTAAGCCATTCTGAAGATGCGAAAGTGGGACAGTTGTAGCAAATTTGGACTGCACTATAGTCGTGTTCGCTGCGAATGCTAGAGCGTGACAGAGGGGATGGGTCAGCTGTGACCCCAAGCCGTTCTTCTCAAACTATTGAAGAGGAGAAAGCAGCAATAATTGGTGGAGAATGTGCTAGCGGCTCGCCAAACCCAGCTCCCTGACTCGCTCCTGCATTCGCGGCGAAGAAGGCTGCACATGGGTAAAAAGGGCATCCACTGGGTGAGCGCGTGGGTCCACCTTCCGATGGCTCTGAGTTGTGAAGGAGCAAAATCTCCTCTTTCTTCTTCTCGTAGTCGATAAAGCTGAATATGACTGAAACGTACCGAAATCTCCAACAGCACAGCTCAGCAACAACGAGGTGACAGGAGAAAACGCTATGCACTGTATCGCATCCGAATGGCTGAATCATCTCATGATTACTATTTTGTGGTAACTTTTGTCAATTGCCGCACTTTCGTTGGCAGTTGACTTTCCTTATTATTGATATAGTTTTGAAAGCGGGGAAACAGGACTTACCTGTACTTGAGTGTGCCTTCATGTTGTTCCGTCCATAGAATTACCGAGCGATCAAGACTTCCCGATGCAAACGTTTCGCCATCATGAGACCACGCCACAGCAAACAGTGTCCTATAAATCAGATTCTAAGGAGGACGTCTAAAAGGTAGCAGTGCATATCTCGACGTTACAGAGGGTGTGCCCACGGAATCAGTTTTGAGCGCAGTACTAACCGATAGAACGTGGCAAGTGCGACAAAGTTTTTTTTGCGTTGTCTGCACTCTCTTGTGCAAATGCTGTCCACATGATCATGCTGTAATCCCCTCTACAATGTCCTCTGTACGCTGCCGCGCACGCTCCCACCGTTTATCACAAATTCGTGAACACGCCCTCTCCAACCTTGAGATATGGAATGTGAGTGAGTGCCGTCAATTTGAGACTCTTCATTATGATCGACGCTTTTCAGGCTACGTATAAAAGCCGTCATGTCAATCGGCTCTGATGGCGTAAGATAGCGCAGTCGTCCAGGAGAGTGAGGTACGGACTTGAGTCCCGCCTGGGGTCAACACATTGCCCATAAAATCAGCTTGTTGAGAAAACTATTCATACTGGAGCCCTGATAAGACAAGGCTGCTAAATGCTAAGACAGCATTCAGACTTCGCGACGGCAGCGCTTCGTCGCGCGTTCGACGCGATCGATGCAGTCGAAAGCATGCGCATCGATCGTCGAATGCGCGACCGAAGCGCTGCCGTCGCGAAGTGCGAACGCTGCCTAACTCTCTCTCCAACTCACCCTTGCAACCCTCCAACATCTATTAGTTGCCGAAAATGTGTAGGTCATGTAAACGTAAAGTTCAGTGGCTCAGTTCTGATATAGGGGCTACGTAGAAATTTTTAGAACACTCGTCAGGTTTGCAAAAGTTCTGGAGGTATGGGGAATTGAACCCCAGCCCTCTCCCATGCTAAGGGAGCGCTCTACCACTGAGCTATACCCCCACGAACATGTTGGCGATTAACATCTAGTCCCTTCGTCAAGCGCATAGGTAATTGGTAGTTTCAACAGCCGTTCAATGATGGGCTACAATATACTGGATTACATAGTAAGTCCATGACGCAGTCGACTTGCGAAGGTACTAACAGCTGTTGATCCGGAGGTATCAAGAGCCGAACCTCAGCCCATTGAAGTGTTGTTTTTTGGAGGCAAAAAATTGTTCCTTGACGTGCGAGCAACTTTTAGTTTATTCATGGCGCGCTCCCTGTCGCTCGCATACTTTCAGGATCTCAAAACCAGATGGACACAGCGGGAAGGTGACTTGTCAACATGGTGTTTATGGTTAGTTCAATCTCATGAAAACTTTCAACTTACCTTTCAGTACCTGCAACAGCGTTCCATCGATACCGTCATAAATAATTACTTTATTGTCAGCGGCGACAAGAAGTTCAGAGCCATCTGGCTTGAATGCTAAGTCGTACACACAGTGCCTAAAACTTGAAACCCTTTGAGATGGAGCGTTTCATAAATATAAGACCACCATTGAATTTTGCATTCCTTAAACAAGCGGTCAACTGGAATTTTTTCAGTACGGCAAGGACAACTTCTCACACAAATAAGCTCTGTATCCAATTTCTGGCAGCAAAATCTTTTACTCTGATTTTTTGATACCGCTATTTGTTGAGGTATCATAATTATAATGCCCACTCCGGGACCATCACACCATCTTGCGCTGTCCGGGGGTCAGATCAACTTCCGCCAGGAACAACCAAAGCTTCTTTCCTCCGGGAGCAGTGAATGGGTACCTTGACATTAATGAGCTGCATGACTTGACTCATCAAGCGTAGGGGGAGGGAGGGGAGTTTCATCTTACCCATCTTTTAGTCTCTCTTGCTAGGTCCTGCTAAATTTTGTGTCCACCTGGCCCAACTGTCTTGATGACCCGCAGACTCTTGTCAAGTGTAAATGAGGTTTTACAGGAACTTACAGGTCTCCATAGGAGGTACCGCTAATGATCGACCAACAATGCCCCTCTACCCGAACTGCGTCGACTCGTCATCTTGATTGGGGCGGACCTGCCGTCACCATACCTGCGCTTTCATCTCTTTTGTCCAGTGACCCCGAAGCCAGCATGCAATGCAAGAGCGTTTGCCCTTTATTTTAGTTTTCCGTAGTCAGGCAGAGCTCACGATCACGTATAACTAGATAACTCTTCCTCTGGACAGGTTATGTGGGCTGCAGCGAACAACCCTGTCAAGCTCTACGTCATGAAGTGGCAAGGTAGACGCGGTAAGGCGGAAGTTTGCACAAGTGACGCCCGACTCTATAGGTATCTTGTCTATGCTCGTTCAAATGCTCTGTTTTCTCTGGCCCCTCCCCTGATATCCTATAATTTTTGTCTTTCTTGTGGCAGGAGTAGGCCCTTATTTGACGCCTTCTCGACGGATCCTTCCATTTCTTATCAGGAGGGAGCCAACTAGCACATACAGTTCTGTTCTCAACCACGCTACCTGTGAACATTCCGCTCCATCGAAAGTACAGTCCTCATCATTGCGGACTGTCGGAGGGCGGCTGTGCAACGCGGTCCAAATGGGCGTTCGGCCTCGTTGCTCTACCAATGGCGATCGGGTAAAGATCGATTTAGGGAGGGAGCAACCAATGATGGAAACGCCGGTGCGAGCCGCTGATTGCGACCCGACAATTGCGGTGATGTAAAGTGTATATATCAGTCAATCCTTT